TGACCTTATTATGTACATTTTTTTTCTCCTCTCCAATCCCTGCCTGCCTTTATCAAACAGTACCACATCTCTGTAACAAAGTCCCTTATTCAGAGCTTTCTTGATGGCAAATTCATTTGACTGTGCTATATATTCTAGGACCTTTACTTTTTGTTTGTTTTAAACATTAGAAAGTCAACTGTTTGTCCAGAGGATTTCTAGGGCTCATTTTAGAGCATGCTTTAAGTGAGATGAAGAGGGACACTCCCAGGGCCAGTCTGGACTGGATCCTGTCAGATCTTCTAAGCTGCCTGAACTGACCTTGTAAATTTTTAAGGTTAGTCCCTTAACTGGGTTTTTGTTTGTTTGTTTGTGTTTTTGACCCTGGGTAGAGTTCTGGATAGTTAATCTAACATTCCTCCATCCAAACTCCCTGATGTAGCCCAAACCAGATTAAAATGTAATTGGAAGATGTTTGACAAAAATAAATAAAAATACAACATACGTAATGTTAATTTGTGGTTGTCTAAGTCAGTAATATTCCACCTTTAGGGATCTGTTACTATTTGAATACTAGACCTTTTTGGTCTAGTACACTGTAATGGTCAATATTTTACAGATGAAGAGAACTGAGACTTAAGACTGGTCAGATGACTTCTCTGTCAGAGCCAAGACTTGAATTCAAGTCTCCTGGATGCCAAGATCTCTGTTCTTTCTACCAAATAACCTAACTTGGTTTTGAATACTTACCCAATCCAGAAAACACTGAGAAGCTTATTTTCTCTTTACATATTTTAGTTGATGTTACTTGTTTTTATATCTTCATTTCTGAATATATCCCATTATATTATATATGTGTGTGTATATGTGTGTGTGCATATGTATACACATATACACATAGATACATATATATCAGCAAGTAAGGCTTGATAACTAAATGTAAAGAAAAAGACAAGTAGGTCAGCAAAACCTCTAACACATCAATTAAGCCTCCTAGTCCCTAACCTCTGCAAAGAAGGGAGGGAGGTACATTTTCTCAGCTTTTCTCTAGGGCCAAGTTACTTATTCATTAACATTACACAGCATTCAGTTTTTGTTGTTATTTTTCTTTCCCTTTATATTGTTGTAACTTATGTTTTGGGCAGCTAAGTGGTGAAGTGAATAGAGCACTGGGCTTGGAACCAGAACTGATTCCTTCCTCTTCATGAGTTCAAATCCGGCCCCAGACACTTACTAGCTGTGTTACCCTGGGCAAGTCACCTAACCCTGTTTGCCTCAGTTTCCTCATCTGTAAAATGAACTGGAGAAAGAAATGGCAAATCATTCCAGTATCTTTGCCAAGAAAATCCCAAATGAGGTCATAGAGAGTTGGACATGACTAAACAATAACTTAAGTTTTGTTTTCTTGGTTTCTTTTATTTTTGCATAATTTTATATAAAGCTTCTTATATGTCTTTGAATTTTTAATATTCATTATGTCTTATGGTATCATAATAGCCCCATACATTCATGTACCATCATTTTAGTCATTGTCTACCCAGTTCATGCTCATCTACTTTATTTTTAGTTCTTTGCTGCCACAAAAAAAGAGTGAGCAAATTATTTTCTTGGAGGGATTGTTTTTTTTATTAACTTTTTTCACAAGGTGGTGTGTCACAGTGGAGAGAGTACTGGGTTTGGATTCAGGAAGACCTAGTTTCAGATCTTGCCTTTGACATTTTTATTGGTGTAACCCTGGCAAGTAGGCCTCTCAGTACATTAGCAAATGCTTAGGTTTTCTGTATTAGATCATAGGTGTGGGTGTGCTGTGACCTGGGCTGGTGTTGAGTATTCCCAACCTGAACTCCTGTATGTTGGAGGCCACGTCCACTAAAGTACTGCTGTTGAGTCATCTTAATTTAGGAGTGATCCTGGGTTGAGAAAAAGAACCTGGTAGTAGACTGTAGGGGAGAGTCTTGAGTTGTGGGTTGTCTGCAGCTTTTGTCCCTGGAAGGAACTGCCATTCAGGCCAATGAAATTTCAGGTCTTTGGAGGATTGAAATAGTCTTTCTCAGTTTATCATCATTCTGTACTGTTGGATGAAGAATTGACTATTATTGGCAAAGAGACACTTAAAATGCCCATCTCTGAGAGAGAATGTAAGGATTAGTACTAGGATGCCTCCAGTTTTCAAAAGCATTACAAATATTGTGACCTGCCATGGAATGCAAGAGGGATTTTTCTGCAGTTGCCCCAGGCTTCAGGCTTCAGGCCCAGGTTTCTCTTGACGATTGTTTATTGATTTATTTATTTATTTTTGCTTGATGGTGGCTGCTTCCTTCTCTACTTACCTCCTACCTCCCTCCTCCACTCTGTAAATGTTTACCTGAGGTGTCCTTTTGAACTTTCCTACCTTTATCTTGCTTAGGTGGTAGGTGGGAAATGAATGAGTGAGATTATAGGAGATCTACCCTTGAAGACTCATGAAGATGTTTCATAATTCTGAAGTAGAACTTGGTCCACGTGGCAACTTAAGTTACCTTCTTTGTTTTCTCCAAATTTAATCTAAGACACATTTATTAAGCACCTACACTACATGTGAGAGACAATGCCATGTTCTAGAATCATCATGGTTAGGGGAAGTGTCACTCATTGGCTTTGCAGTGTCCTTCAAGGATTCTGTGGAGAAAGAGGTAAACCTCATAGAATGTCCCTGGAAGTGATACAGACAAATATCTGTGTGTGTGTGTGTGTGTGTGTGTGTGTGTGTGTGTGTGTGTGTGTACACAATCAATCTGTACGTCTAATTGTCAGTTCTTTTTCTGGGTGCAGATGGTATCTTATTTCAAAAAGTTATCTCGTTTCTATTCTGGCTATCCATTGCTGAGTAAGGAAACTGGTCCTACCCTCATGAAGTTTAAAGGTTGTATGACTAATAAGTTTTTAAGATGTTTTAAAGAAGTTGATTTTATTATAAGGCAAATTTATTTGGAAAAAAAAAGGAGAATCCCTGTACAGGACCAGTAGACATCAAATCTTGTCATCATAGTGAGAAAACACTGAGACACTGGTTGGATTTGTATTTGGTACCATTGGTGAGGTTACGAAAGAAATAGAGGATGTTTGGCTCTTGGATCTCCCAAGAAGACCCTTGGAAGGAGGCACTGTTATGGGATTCCAGGAATGTTGAACTGTGAGTCTGGAGACCTGCATTCTAGTTCCAACTCCAGCTACAACATGACCCTGGCCAAGGCTCTGGGCCTCATTTTTCTCATCTGTAAAATGAAATGGCTGGACCACATTATCTTTAAGATTCCCTTCAAGTGACAACATGCTTTGATCCTTAGTTGATGATTAATATAGTAGTATAGTAATATGGGCCAAGTGGGTGCTAAGTTGTAAAAGTAATCCAGTGGATGGTCACTCTTTAATCTGAGAAGTTTTTGGAGAAGAAGTGAGTTCTAAGCACGTTTTACAAGGAGGTGAAAGATATGAGTTCAAAGGCTGATAAATTCAGAGGTATAAGGGGACCTTTCCAACCTCTTCATTTTATAGATGAGGAAACTGAGGCCTCTGAATTAATAGGAAGACAGGTGTGTGTGGGAGACTGGGGAGAGAAAGCATTCTAGATCATAGATACAGATTTAGAAGAAATATTAGAGACTCTCTGCCCCAGCCCCCTTATTTTACAGATGAAACTGAAGCCTAGAGATCAAGTGATTTATTTTCCAAGATCATACAAGTAAAATAAATAGCTGAGCTAGGATTTGAGCCCAGGTTGTCCGATTCTTATCACCAGCGTTCTTGGCATGGTCAGAGGCACAGATACAAGAATTAGCAAGTGACTTGTCTAAGAACACACAGGAAATAAGTGGCTGAGTTGGGCTTTGAACTCAGGTCCTCTACAACAGCTAGGTGGTACAGTGGATAGAAGTCAGGAAGACTCATCTTCCAGAATTCAAATCTGGCCTCAGACAACTTAATAGGTGTGTGACCCTGGGCAAGTCACTTAACCCTGTTTTCCTTAGTTTAACTCATATAAAATGAGCTGGAGAAGAAAATGGCAAACCACACCAAGAAAACCTCAAATGGGGTTACAAAGAGTCAGATATGACTAAAAAATGACTGAACAACAGCCATAGCATGTTCAGAGGCAAAGACGTAGGAATGAGCAAGACTTTGTAATCTAACAAGCAGATTAGCTTGGTTAGTGTAGTTGGAGGAGAAGGAAACAAGACAAATGTAGCTGCTGAAATTAGGGAGCATGCTCATGTAGGCTTTTGAGGCCTGTCTTCTCCTTCACAGGAAGAGAACTTGGGAAATTTTCCTTCGTAGTTTCCCATCCTCATCTTTTATTTTTTTCTGAATTGTTATCTCTTTCCTCTATTTCTTTTTTGATAACCTTTACCATTCTGCTCCTGGGGTAGGTAGGTGGCACAGTGGATAAAACAAAGGTCCTAGAAACAGGAAGACTCATTTTCCTGAGTTCAAATCCAGCCTCAGATATTTACTAGCTGTGTGACCCTGGGCAAGTCACTTATTCCTCTTTGCCTTAGTTTATTCATCTGTAAAATGAGCTGGAGAAGGATATAGCAAACCACTCTAGTATGTTTGCCAAGAAAACGCAGAAGGGGTCACAAAGAGTCAGACGAGACTGAAATGATTGAACAAGAACAACAACTGTTCTGCTCCAGTTAATGAAGACAGTCAATTATTTCTTAATCCTTGTTCGTTTTGGAAAGCCACCTTGGAATCTGTTTCCCCAGTACTTATGTCTGGCATTGGTAGGGAGCCAATGCTCAGACTGGCATGCCTCCTCCCTTCCCCAATCTGTTACCAACTACAGTAAATTCACACAATTGAACCATTTCCTTCATTTTAATTTCATGGAGTGACTCACTGGCTAGCTGCTTATGAGTTTCTCTTGACTATTTAGGGCTCACCTTTGCTCTCCTAGGAGTCAGAGGAATGGACTGGAGGTTTGGGTGTTAGATGCTTTTAAATGTGATTTGTTAACTCATTTCTTCCTTCTTTCTGTGCAGGCCCTGTTTTCCAGAAGATGCACTATTACAGATATTCTAATGCTGAAGTCAGCTGTTGGTACAAGTATCTTCTGTTCAGCTACAACATTGTCTTCTGGGTGAGTGTAAGAGGAGGGCTTCGCTTCTTTCTTCTGTGAGGCTCTCAGAGCAATAGCTGGATTGAGGGCCCTGGAGGAGGTGTTGATTAAACCAGGGGTTTGGCTAAAAGTGTAGAGAATGTGTAATTCACTTCGTTCAGGCTAGAAGGGAAGGTTGGAAGTAGCTCTTTTAGAGGTTCAGGGAATGCCTCAAGAGGCCACATTTGACTTCTTTTTTCAATATTCACACTTCCCATCTGGGCTGGAAAGTGGGTGAAAGAAGAGGGAAATTCATTAAAGAATTGCTTCATTTTTTAAAGCTCAGTTTTTCTACAAATGGCTCTCTACAACCTTTGTTGATTTTTCAGTGCTTTTAACAGTGAGAGCTTCCGGAGCGGAGATAGTGAAAATGGGGTGGGATCAGAAGTAATCTGGGCATTGTATAGAACTGAATTTGGGCATCAAGGAAGGTGTATTATGAGCTGAAGGAGACATTTGACCCTGGAGAAAATAGACCCCTCCTCTCTGCATGCTGCTTTCTGCCTCCGGTTAGACCTTAACCTAGCTACGATACCTCCATGTATGTAGTATTCAGGGCCATTGAATTACAGGATGGTACAGTGAGAGAGCCCTTTTGGAGCCAGAGAAACTGGGTTCGAATCATAGCTCTACCTTTTTCCTTTCTTACGTGACCCTAGGAAAGTTACCCAAGATCTGTTGTCCTCCATTTCCTCATCTTTAATTGGACTAGATAAAACCTGAGGTTTCTTCCAGTTCTAAATCTATAATCCTATAAGCTTCCCCAACCACCAGACCTGTCCTCCCTCCTGACATCAAAACCAGTATTTTTGACCCTTAAACATGGATTACTCTTCTGGGAGCAGGAAATAATTTCAAACTTGAGAACACGACTAGTCCACCGTTGAATGGGTGTAGCATCTAAAGAAGAATGTTTTCCCGGCAGCGCCTCCTGAGATGGCAGGACTGTAATCTTAAAATTACAGCGCTTTGACATCTCCATGGTAATTAAAGAAACCGCACCACCCACCACCATGTTTTAGTGTGATTTCCATGGGTGGCTGACACTTACATCAGGCCAAGGAGCCTTAGCCTTCTGATCTTTCTTATATACATATAGCAGCATCTTCCTCCATAGTATTCGTGATGCCTGATGCAGTTTTAAAAAATTCCATCGCATTCAACTCTGGCTGAATACATATTTCCTGTCCCCCTGCAGAATCCTAGTCATCTGTTTTCTAAGGCTTTGAAGCTATTTTTCCTCCTTTTCCTTTCATGTAATCTCTTGGCTCCTTGAGTCTTGTACTAGGTTTACCAGTAACACATTTGAAGCACCAGATTCAGATAGCAAAAGTTCATTACTCTGAAATTATAGCAGGTCCAGCTGGTGATTGAAGGTGGCTGCAATGTTATCAGTGTTGTGCAGAATTGGAAATGTATTTGACTGGAGTTAATCGTTTTTTCAAGTTAGCATGCAATGTTAGGACTCAAAAGCAAAGGAATAACGCAGCAGAGAAGCTGGTGCTGGAAATCACAGTCCTGAGAGAGATGGCCTTTTCTGAAGAGAGACAATGAGGGTGACAGCCCTGTTAGGTTCATAGTAGTCTCTTGTCTTAATCTGTGGGAATATTGAGCAGGGGGCTAAATGGATTTCCTGTACTGGGTGGGGGGCAGGGGAATTAGTGTTGAAAGGGAGTGAGGCTGGGGAAACTGTATTGGATTCAGAGTCAGAAGCCTTGTATTCAAATTCTGGCTTAGATGATTTATTCAGGTCTTAGTTTCCTCTTCTATAAAATGGATGAGATAGATGGCTTCTAGGGTTCATTCTCCTTCTTGATTAATGATCCTAGAATGTCCTCCAAGTTCCTAAAATACCAGCTCTAAGTCTATGAATTTGTGATCATCCTTAGGAAGAGAGGCAGGATTAGGGGTAGTAGAAAGAGCCACAGACCTGGACTCTTGAGTTCAAGTCTTATGCTAAACTAGCTATTTGAACTTGGCTTACTTAGGGTTACTAGGCCTCGGTTTCCTCACCTGCAAAATGGGGATAATATCCTTTGTTATGAGGTAATTCCAGGGATCTGCTGGAGCCAGCTGTGACTGGAGATCTGACTGTTAAATTTTCAGCACGAACATTTATTTATATACTAGAAATCAGCAAAGTGCTACAAATCATGGTTTGAGTTACTGTTTTATTGATCACCTAGACTGAAGAAAGTGATGCAGAAAATATTAAGTATGTCATGAGCATGCCCTCTTGTACCCTTCCAGGAGGCGACTGTTAAGCCTGCCACTGAGTAATTGTGAGATTAAATAAATATAGAGGTGAATGTGCTTTGAAACAAGTTTTAAAGTAACCTAGAGAGTTCAAACCTTTACCTTCGGTAGACAAGTAGGATCATAGATTCAAAGCCAGAAGGGACCTTGGACATCATCTACTCTCATTTTACTGAGGAAGGAACTCAGGCGCAGAGAAGTTAGATGGCTTGTTCAAGATCAAACCAGTAGTAAGTGTCGGAGCTGGGATTTGAACCCAGGTCTTCTGATCCCAAATCCAGTACTTTTATCCATTCTACTTCGCTTGTCTCTTTTTCTTTTTCTTTTTTATTGTTATTATTTTTATTTTTTTTATTATCTCTTACTTCAATCCTGCCAGCTCAGTCCTGCCTCACTTTGATGACCTGTGATTGTGGGTGTGGCTGCTTCCACCAGTGATTCTTAGTCACAACCCCTTTCCCACTTAGTAGGATGGCCTTTGAAGGGTGTAGTGGCTGAAAAATATCCTCACATGGCTAATCTGGCCAGGATCCTCTATTAACTGAACTGTCCTCAGACTGGGACACACAGACAGACGTTGTTTATCTCATCCTCCATGTCTAAGTTGTACTAGAGCTTGTGTTCTGCTGAGAAGCCAGAATTGGCTTTCCATTTCGATGAGGCATCACACGAAGACTTGATTGTCTATTATTAGAAGGGATTTTCATTTGGCATAATTGTAGATCATGATTGCTGAGGGGATTTAGTCTTACCCAGATGAGTTGTTTTTTTAAAGGTGAAATCTCCTTTGGGCAGCTTACTATATCAGATGGCTGTTAGACAATTGCTAAATAATCTTCCGAATAGAGAGATAGCTGGTGTTGTGAAAGGACCTCTGATTTGGGAGTTTCAAGGCCCTGGGTTTGAATCCTGTCTCTGTTACTTCGAGGCTGTGGGCCCTGGAGGGATGTCAAGACCCCTCCCTGGAAGGTTTCCTGAATTCAAGTCTTGAACTTGAACACTGAACTAGCTATGTGATCTTGTCCTAACGTTGCTAATGGTCTCTCTAGACTTTAATTTCATCATCTGTAAAATGAGGGGATTGGACTAGGGGATTTCTGTTGTCTTTTCTGCATCTGATACCTGTGATCCCATATTTATGTATTTGCCTGATCACCCCTTTGATATATTAACACTGAATTTTATTTAGCCAGCAGTCAAATTTCACATTTAACCAGGGAATTAGTGGGGAAATGTATTGGGAAGAAAGAGAGGCCAGAAGAGAGACTATTGGGAGAGTAAGGGGTCCTTTTAGCTTTCCTGATTTGATTCACTGAGCTGTCTCTTCTCTCCTTCGACTCTGCTAGTCTGAGACTGTATTGCTGCTTCTTTCACCAGAGATAAGTTAAATTAAACAATAATCAGGCTGAACCCTTTCTTGGACATGTTTCAAAGATTGGAGTAGTAGATAAAAGGAGGGAGACTTTTGTCCAATGCATTAAATGAGAAGTAGTAAAAAATTAAATTGGTAGCATGACATAATTTGCTGTGTTGGTATTCAGGGTTTATAATCTGGCTGCCATAAACATGCCAGGGTAAGAATATGCAAGTGTCAGCTTGTTTCTCTGAGTAATGCTTACTTATTAGCACAGGTAGATGGCAAAATGTTTATTTCAAGTAAAATATTTATTAACCTCCTACTATATGTCGGGTATTATGCTGAAGGCTGGAGTTACTAAGGCAAAAAACAGTCTTTGGTTTCAAGGAGTTCACGAAGGTCTAATGAGGTAAACATTGTGCAAACAATTATGTAGAAACAAGATGTAGACAGGATAAATCGGAGATAATGATAACAGTAGCTAGAATTTGAGAGAGAGAGAGAGAGAGAGAGAGAGAGAGAGAGAGCACGAGCACACACTTTATCAACATGCAAAGTGTCATACGTGTTATCTCATTAGAAGCTCACAGCAACTCTGTGAGACAGGTGAAATTATTATCCCCATTTTACAGATGGAGAAACTGTGGCTGAGGGAAGTTAATTGTCTTGCCCAAGGTCATGCAGCTAGTGAGTGTCTGAGGCAGGATTTGAACTTGGGTCTTACTGACTCCAACTGTAGTATTCTTACCCATGGGCCACCTACCTGCCTCAATTTGATAATCTTGGAGGGAAGGCAGTAGCATTAAGGCAGATCCAGAGAGGCTTCTTGCAGAAGGTGACATTTTAATGGGGACCCAGTGGAATCCAGGGAAGTCACGAGGCAGATGAGGGGGAACAGAATTCTAGGCATGGGGGAAAGCCAGTGAAAATCCTCCATATTGGGAAGTTGGGAAATAGCGTGTCTTATGTAAGAAATAACAAGGAAGACAGTGTCACTGTCTTACACAGTATGTTAGGAAGATTGGAGAAGGGGGAAGATGCCAGGTTATGAAGGGCTTTGAATGCCAGGATTGCAGGCCTGCTCCAGAGTAGTGGTGGCAAGAGGACAGAAAGGGGAGTGTCTGAGATACTGAGATGTTAAGAAGGTAGAAATGACAGAATTTGACAACTAATTAGAGATGGGGACTGGGAGAGAAAATGAGGAGTCAAGGATGACATTCAGGTTTTTAACCTGAGTGACTGGGAGAATGATGTTATTCTCAACAATAATGAGAGTGAGGGAGGAGGGGAAAATTTGGGAAGAAAGATGAGTTCGGTTTTGGACTTGCTGAGTTTAAGGTGTCTATGGGACATCTGGTTAGAGATATCT